ACTGTATAGTTAATGATTTAAAAATTATCAAAGTTGAAATTTATAATAAAAACATAATAAGTGGACTCAAACTTTTGAAAGCAACCGTATATTGTATATGAATTTTATAATTTTTGATTGTATAATTAAGGATTTAAAAATTGTCAAAATTAAAATTTATAATAAAAACATAGTAAGTAGACTCAAACTTTTGAAAGCAACTATATATATAAATTTTATAATTTTTAATTATATAATTAAGGATTATTAAAGTAATTTTATTTTAATATAAATTTTAAATTCTTTATGTACAGTATATAAATATACAGTATATGGTTATTTTTACTTGTCAAAAAAAGGATGGAGAAACAAGTATAAAACCTGTGCTAGCGATTGATCATTACTAAAGTTGGTTATCTAACCTGATCACAACACGTAATTAGCATAATTGTACATAAATAATTATTATGTAAAATATTTCTTTTAGTAGACTCCGACATGTACGCGAAGAAATTACTCGTGTTTTGTTTTCCCAGTTTTGAAAAATCGTAAACAGTGCCAAGGAATGTTTTGTTACTAAGTATGGAAGAACAACAACCAAAAGAAACGCAAGCAATCGAAAACACACTTTCGCCTTCAACTTCAACGCAGACAACAGTTCACGATGTTGTCATGGAGGAGGCAACCACTGTACTTAACAGTACTACCGAAAAGGATAATAAAGTGATAGCAGACACAGCGATGAATAATCAAAGAATTGTAGAAGAATTTCAATACCTTTTAGAGAAAAGTCAACAATTATTTGCAGGTTTGAGGTAAAAAAAAATCTTTATGCACATAATTTCTTCCAAAATCGTACACATGACTCAGGAAACTTTCAAAACTCCAGGGATCTCCCTCCAACGGGTGGCCGTCAGTGGCAACCATATTTTCAAAAGACTTTCGAGGTTTATACAAAGGTATAATTTTCAATCATTCGCTAGCTGCTTATAAATTGTAACAGATTTGAGGAACGCGTTATTTAACAATGATTTATTTGAATTTTAGTTATGGAAATTCCAACAACAGAATAGGTAATCGGCCTGTGAATCTTTCTTAAAATTTTTTGTGATTTAAAACGCACTTTTAATTTGAGATTAACATATGATCTTCAGAACCGTTCTCGAAAACAAAGAAAATTATGGTCTTAAAAGATGGGAGGTCGGTGAAATCGCATCGAAAATTGGACAACTATATTATCATTATTAGTATGTATTGATTCATTTGTGTAAAATTACACTGATATTTGGCGATGGGAAAATAATAACAAGGAATTGATGAATTGTTGAAGTCTCCGTACCAGTGAAACGAACTATCTTCATGAATCATATATATTTTATGAAGCCATCCGCGAAAGGTCTTATTTCAAAGATGTGCTGGATGTCAAAAAGTAAGTTTGATTAAATTTAGTTTTAGTTTATTATTAATGCAATATCGATATAACTAATAATTTTCCCCGACTTTTTACCTCAGCCCAGCTTTAATGATTAAAAAGCTAAGATATTACGCTCGATTTATCGTTGTGTGTCTATTGTTGAATAACAGGGAAATAGTGCAAAAGTTGATGGATGAATTGAGTGGACTTGTTGATGATTACATAAGAATGTTTAAACCGGTGGACTCAATTGAATGGCAATCGGTACTTCAAGAAATAGGAACGTTTCTGGAGGTACGTTTCATCGTTTTTATTTATTATTCATCCTCAATATAAAAATGAACTTATTTAATGCGAGGCTTCCTTGAATTATTAGGCCGAGAAGAAGCTCGTGCCGATTTCTCCTGGGGTTAATTATCTACCCATTACGCGTCGTCTTCAAATTGAAAGAAGTCCGAGGCTCGAAAAAGATGGGACACATAAGCTGAAACTTCAAGAATCAATTTTAGTGGGCAATTGCCAGAATCAAATAAAATTTTCGGAACTTACGCTTGATATGTATCATATATTACAGTCACTTGGTAATTAATGGTTATTTTGTTATATGTTGAATGCGGCCGAAACTCTGGTAAATAATAATTCCGTCCGTATAGAACGTGAACCCGCTCCACCAAAAACTGCGCCCAAGGCTTCTGCTGTTGAAAGTTCTTCTGCAAATGAGAGAGTAACCGGAAAAGATGACACATCGGTCGAGGAACAATCAAGTATCAATACACAAGCTGATAAGACCGCATCAAGAAGGGTTAATCCACACAAATATCTTTTGTACAAACCGTCTTTTAGTCAGCTATTGGTCTACATTGCGACGGCTTTTAAGGTTACCATTGATAATGTACAAATTATGTACCTTTAAATTTCAATGCTGATTATCCTTTATTATGTAGGAAATTACCGAAAATTCTGCTATGCTGCTTTATATTTCGGCGGATGGGGCAAAACGCTCAAATAACAACGATCAGAGTACATTCGATGGTTCAAAAATTTTTACCTTTTATTTTCACTTTTTCTTTGGTATTAATGGCCAACTCACTTAACGCAGGATACGCTGGTGGTGTTGCAACGAGTTCTCGTAAACCAGCGGAAAAATCGGAGGCATCCGATAATATCGCGTTGATTAATTGTCTGCATCCAGACGATCTGGTACCTTTTACTCGAAAACCAATGTTCTTGATCATCGACAGCAATAATAGTACAGCCTTTTCGGTAACCAATCTCGCTGCTGTGTCAATAAGTTTTCAGCTTCTATTATCGAAACATTACCGAATTACTCATTTGGCATTTGATAATTCTTACCTAGAATTTCCCCATGGTTTTCAATCAACCGTTCCTCTGTCTCATGTCACCCACCGAATACCCTACGTCTATATCTGGTATATTAAATTAAATAACTTACTTATAAATCCTTAACAGCTGTTCCCCTTCTTATTCTACTCTGCATATTCAGATACTTCTCAGATCGGTAGTCTTTTCACGTTGTTTCTTCACGCTCCTCTTCTCGGATTCGCATTTATTTCGGGCATTAGCAAAATGGATCTTGAGGATTGGGAAAAGTGTGTAAATCTAGTTTGCGAGGCCGAGATGACGATAGTCGAACTGTTCAACTCGTCTAACTTAGGTATTTGTCTAATAACATATCAGGCATTAAATTTTATATTCGACGTGACCTAACCAAATTTATAATGGTCATCATAATCTATGTTTATAGAAAGATCGTTAAAACGGTTTTTGCAGGATGATTTTCTTCGTCAATTTCTCATACGATTCGTACTGTGTAACGTGTTATTGAAGTCGCATACTAGCTTTCAGGAGGAAAAGGTATTCACTTCTTTTAAAAGCAAAAAAAAAGGGATTTTTTTCCATAACTCAAAATTATTATTTTATTCAGAACCTTCCTTCCTCCTGTCCGCCATTGCCATCTACTATATTCGATTCCCCCGATCTGCTGGCAAAATTGAGTCAAATTACCAAGGTGGCTCAAGTGGAGAAATTCTATTCATTTCCAACATTGGTGGTTGAGGAAGAGGTCAATGAATCGACGACGCAGGCTGAGGATCCTATCGAAGATAAAACCTCTCCAGAGGCCGAATCTAACAACTAGGATACATTTATATTCGATTAATTTATACTTTTTACAGCGCTTATTTAACTGTCTGTACAGGATTTATTAAAATATTTACGGGGTCGAATCACTTGCATGTTAAAATCGGATGGATGAATTTTAATGTTAATAAAATATCGATTGTTAACGAACCGAATTTTTGGAATATACAGTATTTGGTTTGGAAATGATATAGAAATTTTTCCCGTTTTATCGAGGGAAACTTTTTTTTTTGGATTGACTTTTATGGTGTAGATATGAGTGGTAATGTGTGGAATGATACTTATGTAACGTCAGAATATTTCTTTAAAATAAAAGTACGAAGAAAAAAAAAAAACACAATAATAATGATTCATTATTTATTTAAGAAAGATATTACGAATTTAATTCAATTATTTAAGAAGAAAAAAAAAAAAATGCTAACAAGAGTGTGAGAAAAAAAAATCGATATTATATTTATTAATTCGAAAGAATCAAAAATTTTTTATTATTCCTATCATTTTATAACCAACACTATACAATATTGATTTTTTTTTTCAATAATACAAAGAAAAAAAAAAAACAAATTCTATCCAATTTTTTTCGGTCATAAAAAATAGTGAGGTGTAATGGCGCAATGTAGTGAAGTGACGTGACGAATTTAATATATTACGAGGAAAGGAAACAGTTTGTTTATTCAGAATCAGGATACACTGTATACGTATTGGGTTTGAAAATGATGAACATAAGATATTCAAAAATGAGGTAACGGTATTGTGAAAAACAAATTGGGTCTCAAAGAGTGAAAATAATGTATTCGAATACGTATTTTCAAAGATAAGCTGAGACGAGTAATGAGGATATAGAATGCAGAATGTGCAGAAATCGATATTATGGAGCAAAAAAGGATAAACAAAAGGCATTCGCTATGGAATTGGAGTTGAAAAGGATGAGTCATAATGTTATAAAAAAATCAGCTCAGATGGGTGATGCTGATGGAACGCGTGCAGTCGGCAATTTTTATCTCGAGGGAATTGAGTTAAGGGATGAATATCGATATTCTAATATTGACAATAATGGATCTTATAATGTTGGTTATTACTATAATTATGGAATCAGAATTAAAAAGGATGGCAAAAGTAACGTTTATTAGGTAACATTTGGAATAATATCCGAGAGATCCGCCAAATTACCCGGGAATTTTTTGTTTTAAATAAACAATAAAATAAAGTAGAAGTATAAGTTTAATTTATTAATTACGTATACGTACTACGTACTGTTATTTGTACAGTAAATGACGTTAATATTGTTTGTTTAAGTGTTACAGCTAGTTCAAAGTTTAACAAACAGTATTCTTTAAATTTAACTCCTAAGCCTCTCACACACATTGTTACTATGGCTTTAAAATTTTTTGAAAAATTGTCCACCGACTTTACCGAACTTCTTGTTAATGGCATCGATTACGATGTAATTATCGAAGTCGGTGAAGTGCCTTTGAATAAAACGTATAAGCTTCACTCTCTTATTCTAAAAACTCGCTGTTCAATTATTGCCGAAGAACTAAAAGAAATTGGAGAAAGCATTGTCATTAAACAACTTAAAAAATCAAATATTTCTGCTAAAGTGTTTGATATTGTTGTAAAGTAAGTGTTTAATAAACTTACTTTATAACTTCTGCTTACTATTATAACATATCCATTTATAACTGCAATTTAGATATATTTACGGCGCCATTTTTTCATTAGACGAGTTAGAAGAGTCATTTATATTCGATTTGTTGGTTACCGCTAACGAACTTAATCTTAATGAGTTGGTTGATAGCATTCAGCCATTTCTTATCAAAGATTATTCTAGCTGGTTGCGATTGAATTTTTCTCGTGTTTTTCGTGCATGTTCTGAAAATGCCAAATTCGAAAAATTAGAAGAGTTTTGTGATAATATTATTACTAAAAGTCCTTCCACTTTACTCAACTCAGATGGACTTACTTCATTATCTGAGGATGTTTTGGTTTTAATTTTGAAAAATGATGATTTGCAAGTTGACGAATCACAAGTTTGGGACTATGTGATCCAGTGGGGAAAGGCACAAAGAAAGCAATACTCTACCAGAAAACCTTGAAAATTGGTCTCAAGATGATTTTATAACTTTAAAAAACACTTTACAAAGGCTTTTGCCACATGTTCGTTACTTTCAAATTCCTAACCAAGACTTGATTCGTAAAGTCAAACCTTACGTCCAAGTGTTTGACCATAAACTGTGGGATGATATTACTTGTAAAATAATGGATCCGAACCATCAAATTTCTTCAAATATCTTGCCACCTCGTACCAGCAACACTTATGTTGTTTTGCCAACTCAAAAAGAAGGTAAAATCTAAAAAAAAAAAATAACTAACTTATCAAATATCACTTAATTGATAACGAATTCTTTAAATTTTAGATTCTGTTGATAAAGGTAATACTAAGTAATTCCAAGAGATATTTTTCCTTACAATATTATAACTAATAATAAATTACCTTTTATAGACGTGATAGCTGCAGGTATTGTTTAGACAAATTTGAAAGAATCGGTTTTTTATGTACGATCTTATTGATGACAATTGTTATTTAATTATAAAAAACTCAGGTAAAATTACAGAAAAGATAACCTGTTGCCCATTGCTTAACCGAAAATAGCTTATTTTTTATGTAACTAAATCTGAATAATTATTGCACCTACAGGTAAATTTAAATAATATGTGCACTTGTTCATTATTACGAATATTATAGACAAATTTAAACGATAATGTAGAATTTTTCCTTCAGGATCAACGTAATAAAGCCAATTTATGCTTTGGAGAAGGAAATTATGTAGAATCATTAGAACATTGGGAAAACATTCTCAAAAATCCTAGACACACGCTGACTGATCAAATTCAAGCTTCAAAGTGGCATCTAAAATGTAAAAATATTGATGATACCGCAGGAATAAATCTAGCCAAGGCACTATACAAAAATATTATCCTGACCGAGTTAAACCTTGCTTCTAACAAGTTGGGAATTTTGGCAGGAAAAGCACTAGCTGAGGCACTTTGCAAGAACACTACTCTAACGGATTTGGATTTACATGTAAATCAGCTAGGAAGCTTAGGAGCACATGCACTAGCTAGGATGCTTAGGAGCACATGCACTAGCTAGGATGCTACATACAAATACTACCCTAACCAATTTGAATATTGGTAATAATGACATAGGAGATTCGGCAGGAAAAGCACTAGTTGAAGCTCTATGTCAAAATATCTCTTTAACTAGGTTGTATCTATGTATCAATAAATTAGGAGATTCTGCAGGAAAAGCACTAGCTAAAGCACTACGTAAAAATATCAAATTATCATTCCTGAGTCTGCGATCTAACAACCTAGGAGATTCAGCACTTATAGCACTGGCCAGGGCACTATACGAAAACACTAACCTGAAATATTTAAATTTAAAATACACTCGCATCGGAGATTCCGCAGAAGCATTGGCAAAGGTTCTACGTAAGAATAAAACCCTGCTCAGTTTAAGCTTAAAACGGAATGATATAGGAGATTTGGTGGGAAAGGCGCTTGCTGAAGCTCTTAGTGAGAATACTTCTCTAATTAGATTAAGTCTACGTGCCAATAAACTGGGAAATTTATCAGGAAAAGCACTAGCTAATGCTTTATGCAAGAATACTACACTACTCGATTTAAATATTAATAAGAATAATATAGGAAGTTTGGCTATAAATGCATTGAATGAGGCTCGAAGCAGGAATACCACTCTGAAAATATATGCCGTCTAAGCAGTATATTTAACTGAACAAACTGTATGTGCGCATTATCTATTTAATTAATTTGTCGATTACTTTTATTAAATGTTTTTATAATGATAAAAGTACAGTACGACATGAAATTACACCTGCAGGCAAGATTCGGCGCATTATTTTTAGATGTATGTTCATGGACATTAAATGTAGATTTCTGAGATTTTGAATTTTAAAAATAACTCAAGGGCTTTATTCACCTGTAAAAAGTGAAAAAACATTTATCTTGTTTTTTTTGTATTATGAAATTAATTCACGAATATCAATAGCTTTGGTATAAATTGATTTATTTGTATAAATAAGCCAAGGTATTTATGCTTATAGCTCAACAGCTACAATTAGGTTTAAAATGCACAAGTTGATTATTTGTATAACGTATGAAAGTTGCTTAATCAAAATTAAATCCAATTATTATTGCATTTACTGTCTTTTTTTTTTTTACCTGATAATTTTTTTTTTGTATTTTTATATTTTTTATTGTATTCTGAGGTAAAAATAATTAAAATCCTTACAAATAAATCAATAGTTAAATATTTTATAAAATTTTTCAGTTAAAAAAATTGTTATTTAAAATAATAACACTAGTCGAAATTATGTCATTCGGCTGCTGAATTATTGCCGAATTTGGCAAAAATTAATAATAAAAATATTGACGAATTATTTACAATTGCTGCCACTCGGCATTAAAAATATCGGCAAAAAATCAGCAAAAAAATATTAGCAAAAAATCAATAAAAAAATATCGGCATTCAGTGAAAAAAAAATTCAGTACAAAATCCAGCAATATTGTGGCAAAAAAAAATTTTGCGGTAAAAAATTCGGCAAAAAAATTGATAATGCGACAAAAAATTCAGCAAAAAAAATTGATACTACGGCAAAAAATTCGACAAAAAAAATTGATACTGTGGTAAAAAATTTAGCAAAAAAATTGATACTGTGGCAAAAAATTCGGAAAAAAAATTACTGTGGCAAAAAATTTGGCAAAAAAATTATTGCAGAAAAAAAATTCGTCAAAAAAATTACTGCGATAAAAAATTCAAATTTCATGAAATTTATTAAAAAATTACAAATTCAATTAACTAAATTATTCATCATTTCCCTCTTCC